GGGGGGGGGGGGGGAGAGCTGGGTTCTGAGCCCCGTGGGCATCCATGCAGGGAAGTTCAAAATTTAATTTGACAAATATTGAGGAAGCAGCATACTTCAGGTACCTAAATGGCTTTGAAGCCAGTAGCCTGTGTGGTCCTGGACACCAAATGTAGGATGCTTTAAGATTGTAACTTGGAGATCCCAGCCTTCCCGGGGACACCTTGGGGATGGGCACTTGGGTGGTGCTGAATGCCAGCTGCAGGCAAACCCAGGTGTGAGCAGAGAGACACTGGGAGTCGTGCTCTCAAAACCTCTGAGAAGTATCCCCACACATCCCTCCTCTTGGACACGAGCAGGGCATATTCTGACTAGCAAAGCCATTTAGCAAACGTGGGCTTCATTTCACTTGCCCTAATGGAGAGGAAGAAAACGCTTTAGAAAGAAAACATTTTCTGAAATGACGAGGGCACCAGTGAGCAAGCACCGGCGGCCAGGCCTCTAGGTTCTGTTGTACCCCTTTGTACCCATGAAGGAGGGGCCTGGCATCCAAGTCCTCTTTGCTTGCCTCTCCGAAGGTGAGGTGCTGCAGGGCCAGCTGCTGCCCCATGTTGGTTGTTAAAATAGGAATTTGCACCTAGAACTGCCTCCCACAGCTGTTTACCTGGACCAAAGATACCAGACTCATGCCTCTCACCCCATCAGGTTAGGCAGCTTAACTTTTGTTTTGTTCTGGTTTTGTTGTGTGTTTTTTTTGTGTGTTTTTTTTGTCTCTTGGGTGGGCTCCAGACAGAATTTGGTGCATAGGGACAATAGACACGTGCTGCACCACAGGACAATTAAAAGAGGAAAATATGTTAACGTCCCCTCCTCCCAATTCCAAATTAGGACAAGTTGACAAGTACTTATGAGGATCACAGAGCATTTGCAATCAGGGTGCCCTGGAAACTGAAGAATGTGTGCTGGCCACCCAAATATGGGCACCACAGCTGGGTTTCCTGTGGTTTTCTACCAGGAGTCCCTCGAAGGGGGTGCAGGAAGTGGGCGGGAGGTGCTATAATAAAGCTTTTAGAGACAGGAAGGGTGGTGGGTACACAGGATCGTGGCGGGGAGGGCGTTCCAGTCTAGCGAGCTTGGCCGGTGAAAGTGCCTGTGCTTTGCTAGCTTGGAACCTGCAAAGTGTGGGAGCAGCGCACGCACACGCCCGTGGTTCCCAGAGCCACGTGGTTGCCGACAGGCGCGTGGAGAGCCCAACTTTTCCGCAGTGCGGCTCCACTCCGGGGCCCTGAAGTCCTCAGCGCGGGGTGGAGAGCTTGCCTCCTCCTTGCCAAGAGCAGAAGACTGACCAAACCACGCCTTTCTCGAAAACCCTGTCAGGAGAGGACAATACAGGACCCCCAATTTTGCTCCACAGAAGCCCAGGGCTGCTGCTGGGCCTTCCTTGCCTGGAGCACCTCTGGGAGCCCCCCTGACAGAAAAGGTCTTTCTGTAGGACAGGAGGTTGGGAAGAGGGTGAGCAGAAAGAGTGCACTGGGGAAAGATCAGCTTCTTTTTGTTGGGCACAGTGTCCTGGGCTCTGTCGTCTCTAGTCCTGGAATTGGCCTGACCCATGCAACAGCGCTTCCTGGTCCAAACCTTTCCAAAGATCATGGCTGTTCCCCAAGCCTTCAAAACAGCCTCATAGAATCTTTGAAGGGAAAGAACCCCATGGTCTAGATGAGATACCCACATAAATATTGCCTAGTGCTCGGTGCCTGGGAAAGGTACTGTGGGAGGAGAGACAAGGGAGACTTCTTGGAGGAGGAAGGATTTGAGTTGACCCTGAAGAATGGGAGGGACTTCTGTGGGGAGGGAAGTTGAGAAGTGTGCGAAGGCTGCGGTGGTAGGAGAGGAGAGGGCACCTGGCCCAGCCTGGTTGGCAGACAGTATGCGGGTAACTCGGTTATAAGCCGAGGAGGGCTGCCAACGTCTCGCTTAGCGGATGTTAAGTCCTTGGAAGGTGGGGATTCTGATGAGATGATGAGGTTTCACCAAATCAGACTCCAGCAAAAAGTGAAAGGCGTGGATTTGAGGGACACTGGAAGGGCTTAATTTTGGGATACTGAAGCACTGCAATGAGAAAAATAAAGGACTGAAACCCAGCCAGCTCACAACCCTAGCAACTCACCTGGGGGGAACTGGAAAAAGGAGTGTGTTTGCAGGGGACCCTTGTATATTTTACACAAGGGCTCTTAAATGTCCCTGGGTGCCTGTGGTTGAGCTGGACCATCAAAAGCTTTCTGGAAAAGGAGGGTGAAGGTGGGCCCAAGCCCTCCGTGGCCTCCCAGGGCTCTCACTCCCCATTCTCTCTTTCCAAGGTGCTTTTCTCATCCCCTACCTGATGATGCTGGCTCTGGCTGGGTTGCCCATCTTCTTCTTAGAGGTGTCACTGGGCCAGTTTGCCAGCCAGGGGCCGGTGTCTGTGTGGAAGGCCATCCCTGCCCTGCAAGGTGAGTCTGCCCTGCCCCTCGGCCTCCTCAGCGCCACCCTGCTCTCTGGCCCCAGGGAGGGAGACCTGCTTTGATTATCAGTAGAACTCACTCCTTCTTTCATGTGATCAATTCCACCCCGGGGGCCTCTGAAGAATGACCCAGGATCACTTCTGGCATGCTCCTCCATCCCTGGCAGAATGCTTTGATGTCCTTGATAAATACAGAGGCTGCTCCACTATTAGGTACCCATCTATACAAGAGAGCCAAGCCCTAGGTTCCCACCCATGCCCGACTGTAAGAATTCTGTAGGATTCGGGGTGAAATGAATCCCTGCAAATTTTGCTTCCACAGGCTGTGGCATCGCAATGCTGATCATCTCCGTCCTAATAGCCATATACTACAATGTGATTATTTGCTACACACTTTTCTACCTGTTTGCCTCCTTTGTGTCTGTGCTGCCCTGGGGCTCCTGCAACAACCCTTGGAACACGCCAGAATGCAAAGATAAAACCAAACTTTTATTAGGTAAGTTTGAATATACCTACATTCGGCACAGTACTCATTCATTCACTCAGTGAAGATTAACTGAGCATGTATTATGTTTGCCAGGCCTTGTGCTAGGTGCCCTGCAGCTGTCCTCCAGGGGGGATAGTACTTCAGAAACACCATTCTCCTCTACTAACAGTATCCACTAATATTTGTGCAGTACCTTAACAATAATAATAGCTAGCATCACTTACTACATACCAAGCACCATGTTAAAGCCTTTTGCTCATATTACTATTAACGTGGACAACAAGCCATTGTATGACTTCCAATATTATTTCCACTTTACAGGTGAAAAACAACTGGAACTCAAGGTCATAGAGATAGCTCTGTGGTAGACCTGGGATTTGAACCCAAGTTTGCCTGCCTCCTAAGGCCCTGGTCCTAACTGCCTTGCTAAATGCCCCCCAGTTTACAAAGTAACTTCATTGATGGTGTCTCTGCTATCCCTAGTAAGAGCCCTAGGAGTTCCAAGGGGCAGGTGAAATGATCACTGTTTTGCAGGTGAGGAAGTGAACTTGAAGGCTCAGAGAGTAGAAGTGTCAGGCTGTAAGTCACAAGGTACAACCAGCACTGGGATTTGGATCTCATGACCCCTGATTCTCTGCTCAGTCCTTGGTCCAGCAGGTTCTCCTCCCTCAGTCCTGGCAGGGTGACATCAGTCCAGGTGTTCTGTTCCCTAATTATTTGTAGCTGAGGTTCTATGGAGTAAAAAGGAAGCTTGCCTGAACAGTAGTTCGACTCAGTAATTCCACTCTTGAGATTTATCTTAAGGGGGGAAACAGAGACAGTTAAGGATTATACATGATTGCTCATTGCAGCCACATTTTCAGTCTTGGGATAACACTAGAAACACTTAAACATGTGACAAAAATTCAATAATTACTGAATAATGCCATGGTTCCAGTAAATTATAATGCATCCATATGATGAAGCTTTCTATAGTTATTAAAAATGAATATTCATAAAATATGGGAAAGTCCTCACCATATTATGTTAAATATAAAAACAGGATATGGGTTTATTTTTCTTAACAATATGTGCATGGATTAAAAACATATAGGAAGGTGATACACAAAATGTTAACTGGTAGATTTGGGACCATTCCTTCTTTTTTACATTATCTATCATGGACATGTATTTGTTTTATAGTCCTGTATATGTATATGTGTATATGTGTGTGTGTGTGTGTGTGTGTGTTTTAAGCAAACTGAGCACACAGAGTAGGCCAGGCATGTGGGTGGGGGTACCCCTGGGTTTGTGGAGTTCCCAGTCTGGCTCACAATACCCAGGAAACATTAAAGACCGAGTAGCCCGGCCCGGGCATGGCTCAGTGGTTGAGCGTCGACCTAGGATCAAAGCGATCGGGATTTGATTCCCGATCAGGGCACATGCCTGGGTTGCAGGCTCGATCCCCAGTTAGGGGCGTGCAGGAGGCAGCTGATCAGTGACTCTCTCATCATTGATATTTCTATCTCTCTCTCTCCCTCTCCTTTCCTCTCTCTGAAATCAATAAAGATATATTAAAAAAAAAAAAAAAAAGACAGAGTAAAGACTTTACGCAGCTAAGCTCCCAGTGGACTGGTACAAACCAGAAAAACTGCAAGCTCTGAGCAGAGAAAGACAATGGACGTTTTCCACTCTGCTTATTCCCTAGGAGCATATGGACAGACTGGGCAGATCTTATCTCATTCTTAGCTAGTGATTTACATTTTTTCATTTGTTTGTTAAAAAGTGATTTTGTGTGTGTGTGTGTGCAGCCCCGCCCCCTATGTGTACTTCCCTGTGTTATCTACACATGAGTGTGCTCCCTTGCTGGGGCCCAGCTATCCCTCATGGAAGTAGTATTGGTCCTTTGGGGTCCTGGGATGACTTAGCAAAGGTGATGGTGGTCTCACTTGCAGAGACACAGGTAGCTTTGTAGCCCCACTGCTCTGACGGACAAGTCGGGAGTCCAGACAATGGATGTCCCAGGCTCTCCCCCAAATGGCCATTGTGAGAGATAACACAGAAACCTCCCCTAGTGCAGTGTTCCACAAATAGCCTTGCAAGCTCACCGTCTCCCTCACAACCCTATCCCCATCCTACCCTTGTGATAGCAGGTAGCTAGTCCCAGGAGAGAGGGGATAGATCCTTGCATTGTGACCGGCAGTCATAGCAGCAAGGTATTTACCCCAGGTCCCTCTCAGCGTTGCTAGGGACTCACTGCCCAGGAGCCCTGCCTCACCATCCAGATACCCATGCCAGCCCCAGAGAACACACCAGCCCCGGAGAACAGCCCTTGCCCTGTCCATAGGTAGAAGCTGAGCTAGCCACACATCTCTGAAGGTATATTTTGTAAGAAAGACTGTCTTCCTTAGGGGGACTCAACCATCCAGGTACCCGTAATGGAGAAAGGATCATCCAGCCCTGCCAAGTGAGACCAGCAACTGTTCTGTGAAATTAGGAGTTAGCTGGGCCATTGAAAATGGGAACCACATAAATAACCATTTCTATTCCTGGAATGGCTTAATTTTCATTAGAACTTTAATTAAATGACTCCTTTTCTCCCTAGCCTTTCATGTGCTTTCATTTATTAATAATTGCCCGAGTACAGAGAATCCCATTCGCGCGGCTCCCAGTTTCGATCGTTCTCGCAGCTCTTTGTTCAGGGTTGCTGGGCCGCGGAGGCTCGGGC